GATGTAAAGGAAATCCGATCTCAAACTCCAACGAAAAGCAAACGAATCACCTTTATTACCCCGTATACAAAACGTGAAGATAAAATTCTGATAACTGTATACACCAATATTTGATAATGCAATGTCAATATTATTTCACCATACACCGAATCATTACATAAAACAGTATACAGAATATCAAAATAAACAAACCTGAAAGCTTATAGAAAGGCTTGAATCACAGATTCATATGAGAATAGTTTGAACATTTGTGAACTCACAATCAGTAGACATGTGACCTTCACTCTATCTAGAGCGGTAGAAGAATAAAATAGTAAAAGAAGTTAGTTTCAAATCTGACAATTCGCTGCCTAAGGCACAGCAAGGACTAGAAAGAGTATCTATGTGACAAGGATTTCCTTGGAATCAATCTTATCAAGAAAGAGAAAGAGTAAAAATAGGAGTAGAGTACCCAAAACATCCCCAAGCGCTGTTAGATATGGAATGACTGCGTTGTCTGGGTTAATTCGCCAAGTCCACATTACCGCAACCATGTACTGGCAGATGTAAAGTAGTATCACAACCTAAAAAGGAAAGCTTTGATGAGAGCAGAGAATCTCCTTAGAAGCGAAAGTTTAACATACCTGTGTCAAAGCTGCCATAAGATACAAACTAGTGAATAAAGCACCGTGTGGAGGAATAATTGATCCAAAGTGAAATACACGGATTAGCCAATTGAAAAAAATATGGCCAGGCACGACGAGGAACAATAAAACTCGGGCAGATCGGGAGTCGCTGTCTAAAATGTGATCATGTATCTCATAAAACGTTACATGGAAGCAATTTGACCTACCCTTAGAGAAAAAGGCTCTTGTGAAGCTGTAAAAACGCTTAAGAGTCCATCCTTCTGGCAATTCACCAAGTGTCGCACTTTGATGAAAGTAAGTCGAAAGACGACTTGCTTGCACAGCTGCTAGATTTCCGCCCACACCTAGACATAAAAACTAAGAAAACAAATTAAAAGTTGACATGATTAACAAACCGTTGATGACTGGTTGAAAAATGGCCACGTTAGGGTACTGTCGCACAGCATTTTCCAGGATAAAACCGCCACCGCTACTCAGAAGCATGGCAAATATTATGGGAGACCAACCATCAGTTAATACCTGAAGTAGCGCTCAGTACAACAACTGAAATCAATAACACACAAAAATGATCAAAGGCATTGTCCAGGCCCACTGGGGGGTGATGGGATCTTGACGCAGTCTTAGTGTC